GTTCTGAGTGAATTATGTTACTGATACCTAATGGTCAAAAGCAATAGCAAAAGTAATAGGTCAATATTATTAAATTGCAGACAAAGATTTTGAATAGCTAGGCTGGCTTACACACTATATTGCCAAAAGTATTGGGACACCCCTTCTAATGAACAGGTTTGACTACTCTCGTAATTTCCATGAGTACAAATCTTAATATTTAAGCATATAATGATATTCTAGGGAATTGTGTGCTTCTAATTTTATAGCAATAGTTTGGACAGGAGCCTTTTCTATTCTAACACAACAATGCCTCTGTGTATAAGGCAAGGTTAAAAAAAAAAAAAGATTGATTCAGTCAGTGTGGAAGAACTTGTTGGTGAATTTCACAGCTTGTGGAAGTTAGGTGAGGAGAGACTGACTTATCAAGCCCCCTTCACTGAACATACTGTAGCATATATTTAGGCCGATCTTAAAATCACATTATTACAATACTTATCAAGACACATTTAACGGGCAAAGGAACAAACAAATATCGATACACAGAATGTGATATTGTCTTTTATGCCATAGTCTTAGGTGAGAACTCATACAGCAGCCTTAATGATATGACGACAACATACAGTACAAACAGTCCCCACAGACATACATTAAAATGGCAGGATCATAAGATCTACAGGATCATAAGATGAGTTGCCTCATTCATCTTTTACCAAGACTAATTGTCGGGTTGAGCATGGACATGTCATTGGGGTTATGAAGTGAGCATCCTCTTTCAAAGGTGTCATCCAGTTGGTTTATGTGGGTGTGTGTTTAGGTCATATTTAAAGTTTTTTTTTTTTTTGTTCCCAAAAAGCACCATTATGAAAATCACTTTTTAAAACGTGTTGTAGATGGAATGAAGAACGAAGAACCTGGCCAGTGTACTTTCTTAAGGATGAATATATATATATATATATATCATCCTTCCCCAAATGTATTAGTATAAAATATAGTATTTTACAAATGAATTTGTAGTGCACTAAGTTTGTGCTAGATGAAAGCATGAAATAACTACATTTAGAGTGTATTTTCAGTTCGTATAGACATGTCAATCTATTTTTAGTATACTTATCATGAAATAAACATATTTTAAATACAATTAAGTATATTTATTTTTCACTAGGGTTGCTCATTTGACATGATGTTATTGTTTTGTTTTTTGTTTTTTTTGCAAAGAGCTGTAAAATTGTAGTCTTATATCCTTCTGTGAGTCTTTGAAAATGAGTATTTCTCAGTTTAAGTAGATTAAGCTGTACTTGCATGACTAGAAACTGCTGCCTGACAATATTACTAAGATGGCCACCAAATGAACTTGAACTTAACAAGGAGTTTAATCTGTTGACATGCTTACCCTGAACTCCATGACATCTATGAAGGACTCGTAATAACTGTGCAGGCCCTCCAATACGGCTGACTTCTGCTTCTGTATGTTACTCAGATGTTGCTGCAGAAAAATATTGGGGAAAAAAAAGGAAATAAAATAGTCAAGATTTGAGCCAAATACAAAGACAACAATGAATCCCTTTTTATTTGTGAATACTCACACTGCCACCCCTGATGTCAAAGTTGGGAAATTTTCTGTTGATGTATTTTATGGCAGATTCCATGCTTTTGTCAGTAAAGTATGATGGTCTTCGCTTTGGGTCTGTGCATACCTGAAATAAAAATTACATGAAAAAATAACATAAAAACCCAGAATGCCAAACCACCCAAAAACATTTGTGCCCCTCAATGTTGAATGATGAAGGATGCCTTGATCAGGATATGATCATGTAGCCTGTCCATGATGTTTAACAGATTTTCTGGCCTCACTATTCAATTTTATTTTATTTCTATAATACTTTTAAAAATACAAATAATTCTAAAGCAGAATGACAGTAAGTACACCTTTAAAATCCTCAGTGAGCCAAAAGAAAGCTGCTTCAGATAGATGAGGAAGAAACTAGACTCTGGGGAAGCCATCCTCCTGTAATGTAGGGTTTTGTGTTTGGGTTTTGGTTCTTGTTCATGTTTTCATGTCTTTTATTTTGGAGTTTATCATGGTCCCTGTTTGTGTCATGCTTCTCTTGTCCTCATGTATTCATGCCATTGGTTCCTCTGTTCATTGTGTCATGTTCTGATTGGTTGTCTAGGTCATGTGTCTTGTTTCCCATTGGTTTGTTCTTGTCATGTGACCTTCATTGTCTGCTATAAGTAGCCCTCATGTTGCCATTGTCTTTAGTCGTGTATTGATGTTGTAACCAGCTGTTGGTGAGTCTAGTCTGTTCATGCCTCGTCAAGTCTGTGTCTCTAGTCTTCGTTTATTGTTTGGATGTTTGGATCACTGTAAATAAACTGCACTTGGGTTCTCACTTACGCTCGCCTTCAGTGGATGATTCGTTACACCTCCTCATACTTTCAAAAATACAGTTTTGTATACGCAATACACAAGGACCGAAAACAAATTAATGTGTCACCTTTGTGGGAAAAAAAAACATTGAAAATATTTATAATAATACAATCATTTGTAATGTGATTTAATTTTTTACCACAAATGTATGGCATGCTCTGAAGATGATCTGAAGAAAATTCAGTGAAAATCAGACCAATATTCAATTATGAGTTCAAAAAACAATTTCAAATGTCAGACTGCAAGTTTAACCATAACTGGTATCATTGTTCTCTGTATGTCTCAAGGAATCTATCAAGACAATAGGCCAAATTAATCAAATGCTATTAGCAGAAGGCACATACAGAGTTTCAGAATGATACAGCATAGGGTGCATTCGGCTCGACATGAGACATTCTGAAGTGCCCAATTTTACTGTGGATATCAAGCATAGATAAATATGATTTTTAACCTTGTGTAGAGGCCTGCATAACATTTAGCTTTTACAGCACGAGCCACCGTAGAGGCAGTGCAAAGACACTGAAGAAAAGTAGGTAGAATGTCCAACACAGAAACTTGTGCCGTTTGGGTTGGTCAGAGAATCTATATATTGATTTATTGCACCGTAATGTTTGCATTTGTCTTGACAGTGGATTAGTCCTTTAGAAGCTCTGCCGTGAATATGTGTAACACTGGTTCTGAGACAGACATGTATGTGAGGGAGATGTGGTTTACAGAGGGGCCTGATAGGTCCTGTTCATTTCCTGTGTGCACTTCCTCTTTCTCTACAATACTGAGACGGAACATACTTTCTTTGGAAAACATGACAAAATACAATGCATAAATTATATTTTTAAAAGCCCTCTGAATAAAATTGTTATAATGTACGTTCAAAACCAATCTAGATTATAAAAACACATACTGTAAAAACACTTGGTGATTAATAATGCAGCAGGATATTTGAGCATTGTTCGGTTCTACAAACAATTCAACAAACAGCAGTTAATTCAGTTCAGTCTTTTGTCAATCAGTCACATATTCACTGCGAGTTCAAACAAACAAAATCAGTTCTGCCTATATTAGTCTTTTTCAGGGGTTTGTGAATATTACAAGAATGAATTTTCCTCTCACCTTTTTAATGTGGTTCATCCTGATCAGCACTCCTTGACCCCGGTCATTGAGTATGACCAGTTTTTCAGCCAGTTTGAACTGGTAGGCCATGATCCCTTTCCAGATGATATGATCCTCAGTGAAACGGTGAACGATGAGGTCTTCAGAGATCAAGGCGACGCCAAATCAACATTGACACCCATTCTGTAGAGAAGGCGGTGCTTACAGAACTTCCGCTCCTCATGTCTTATGACACATGTCAGCACATTCACTCTCAACTTACATCTGTCCCACATTTAGATTGAATTCTTCTGCATTTATTTCTCCTACTGAGCAAAGATAGGCCAATTAAACATGCTTCCTCCTAGTGAAGTGACTCTTGACTTTACAGAGTAAATCAGCTTTCACTGTTTCACTGAATCCTCTATTGTCCATGTTACTTAACAAATGCATGTAATCAAGTGAACTTAAATAAACGTCAACACAATACTGGTGAGTAAATTGCACTAACAAAACAAAACAGTGCAGCACACAGTGAGTGACTGAAGGCCAGGAACAACATGAAAAAGAATAATGTTGCTCATTATGAGTCTAGATAGAAGAAAGATGCAGCTTTTCACAGCCTATATTGGTTTTATTTTTCATGGACATTTATGAAAACCTGGAAAATAGCCCAGATGTGTATGAGATTACAATCGCAATTAGCCAACAACAGTGATCCAGTCAAATTCCAAAGGACACAATCAAGTCCCATCCTACATTTGTTTCTTGTTTAAGAAGCCGTTTCAGTCAGATATGTAAAAATTGAGAAGACAATTGTGTGTTTAGCTCAGTATGCACTCATTATAATGGAGTCAAGAACAGAGGAATAATTTCATCCCAGGAAAGATTCAGACACAATTTATTGATTATCAAACGCTACACCAATCAGGTGAAATGTTTGTCAGCTTGCTATGTTAACCAGACAGATTTTTGATTTTCAACACTATTAAAAAATGTTTCAGTGCATTCGGTCATTTCAGTGCAACTTGTTCTGAAAATCACCGGAACAGTTTGTGGTGGATAGTATTGGACAAAATATATAGATGGAGTATTTTCAGTTTCTTACAGAATATTGTTGCTTGGCCACTAATAATTACTTTGTGAAGCACAGCATGCATCCTATGTTGTATCTACTGGCAAAGTTCCTTCAAGGTAACTTGGAGGGGTAGGGTGTCCAAATCATAACATCTAGCTACTGCGGTGCCTCAGGGCTCAGTTCTTGGACCACTTCTCTTCTTGGTCTACATGGCATCACTAGGTTCTTTCATTCAGAAACAAGGGTTTTCATATCACTGCTATGCTGATGACACTCAACTCTACCTCTCATTCCATCCTGATGATCAGACGATAACTGCTTAAAACTGCCCGGTCCTGCAGATTTGCTTTATACAACATTAGGATGGTCAGGCCCTTTCTTTCAGAACATGCTACACAACTCCTTGTTCAAGCTCTTGTTCTGTCCAGGCTAGACTATTGCAATGCTCTCTTGGCAGGTCTTCCAACCAGTTCTATCAAACCTCTACAATTAATCCAGAATGCAGCTGAAAGATTAGTCTTTAACGACCTGAAAATAATACATTTCACACCTCTGTTCACCAATTTGCTCTGCACCCCTTTACCTAAATTCACTACTTATGTGCCCTCTAGAAGCTCACGTTCTGCAAGTGAAAGCTGCATTAAAGTGCCATCCCGAAGCTGCACAAAATCACTTTCACAGACTTTTACCGTAAATGTTCCCTCCTGGTGGAATGACCTGCCCAGCTTAATCCAAGTCATTCAAGACATCTTATCCATCTACACTTGACCCTCTTGCACTCTCTATTCTATTTCTAGTCTAACTACTTGTTTTCTTTTTATTTAAAAATAAAATAAATTGACCCTCCAACACTAGCGTTCTCTATTATTTTTCTATTCTGTTGACTTGTTTTCTTTTTATTTAAAAGCATAAATTGACCCTCTAACACTAGTATTCTCTATTTACTTGTATTCTTTCTATTTATTATATAAAAAATAACCTTGCTACATGTACTGCATTAGACTAATCAAGACTTGTAATGTAAGACTTGCATGTAAACACACATTACAATAAATTAACATATGCCAAATATTATATAGGTACATATATTATATAGTCATATTAAGTAAATTAAATCACCATGTTGAAAGATTAAGGATCATTCATTTCCAGTCATTGAAGTCCTAAAACAATTTGAGAGATGCAGGCAGTTCCAGTACAACATCCTTCAGGCTAAATCCAACAGAAAACATGCATCCATGAGGTATAAATGTACAAGATACATCTTCAGTCTCGCTTTTGAACGGTTTAGTTAGCACGGAAACATTTTCACTGTTTTTACTGCACCAAAACCACCTTATTTTGTGGGCTGGTGGTTCTCTAGGTGCTGTTCTTGGCTCATTAATCCTGCCTGGATTGAGAGGATAGTGACCGTTCCTTTGCTCCCCTTCTCCACAATCTAGATTGGTGTTACTTTGAGATTTGTTTTAATTTATGTATCTATTTTTGGTAACATGCTATTTTGATAGTATACTTTGAAGTAACTTTGTAACTACATGTCAACTTATTCTAGTAACCCTAACCTTAATCTAACAGTCTACTTATACTGAATCCTGCCTTATAGTTGTGGCTTACAAGCCAGCTGTGACAACTCCAAGTCCATGTAATGAGAAGACCTAGCCTGTTTTCAGAATTTGAATGTCTAGATCTTTTTGCTGCTTGTCATGGTAAGTGATTGTTCAGTCCATTTTGAGTTCTTCAGAAGGACTGCAGTCACACACAGCTGTTCAGAATCAGCTGATTCCTGCCCTGAGCCAATGGGTGGATTTCACTCTGGGGAAGTCCAGTTATAGCTTCGCAATCATAACCTTTTTGGCCTGTCAAAACTGAAACCCCACCAGTAGTTCCTGGTACGCTCTTTCAATTCAACAAGATCTAAAATCATCACACTGTTTTCATTTCCTGTGATATGCGTTCTATGACCTCTAGAGATTTGAGCGGTGCTTCATTCAGGAGCTTCATCACAGGAGTTTTAAATCTTGGTGTAAACACAGTCCTAAAAGAATTTGCTTTTTCATGGGCTACATTGGCATGGATTTCTGTTTCTGTTAGGACGTGTTTCTGTTTTGTGATGTGTAATTGTACACACATGAATTTGTTTTCTAACCTTACTTCATAATGTGACCACATGGTCACATAATGAGAAAGCAGAAAACAGATTTGTCTTTGCAATAAATAAATAAATAAAATACGACATTGCATATGTATCCAGACTCTTAACTCAGCATCTTGTTGAAGCACCTTTCACAATGATTACAGCTCAAGTCTTTTTGGGTATGATGTGATAAGATTTGCTCGCCTGGATTTGGGGATTTTCTGTCTTTTTTTTTTTGCAGATCCTCTCTCGCTCTGTCAAGTTGAATGGGGTCCATCGGTGGACAGACGTTTTCAGGTTTCTCCAGAAATGTTTGTTTGGGTTCAAGTCCAGTCCTTGCTTTACTGTTGGGATATTGTGCAGGTGCCAGGTGGTTTGTCCGAACGTGATGCTGAGGCTCATCAGACCATGGGTTGGTCCCTTTTTAAAAGAGGAATGGTGGATTTGATTGATTTTTTTTATTTGTGATCCAGTAATAAAGACATATGGATCAAGCAGTTTAATCCAAGTCTCCTGACTTCTTTGAGATTGTGTTGACCATATTTAATGAGCTGTATGTATGTGCATTGATCAGTGTTTATATGTGAATAAAAGCCTACATTAATTCTTGGATTAAACGTTTGATTCGTATGAATTACGTTTAGCTACTATGTCTTTATGAACTTTCTGACATGTCAAAGTTTTGGTTACATGGACTTTCAACGGAGGGACAGGTTTCGTTAAAAATATCTTCATTTGTGTTTACAAGAAGAACAAAAATCTTCTAGATTTGTAATGACATGACATTTTTTGGGTCAGGTGGACTATCCCTGTTAGTAGATTTAATTCTTAAACTCCTTACACTTAAAATGATAAAAGTTTCACAAATTTTATGACTCATTTTAATGTAAAGGAGAATATATTTTAATGCCAAGATAATGTACAAAAATATTACATATGCAGGGGCAGCAGGGTAGAGAAACTGCATGTGCTTATTACCAATGATTTTTACGTTTAAAATGTGAGTAAACTGTTTAATAATAAAGTCTGTTATGATTGTGCACTTTTAATGATAAAGGGAGTTATTTAATAGTTAAAGTGTGAGTTAAGTTAAATGGTTAAAATGTGTTATTGAGGTCAGTTTAATGGTTAAAGTGTGTCATTGAGGTAAGTTTAATGCTTAGAGAGTGTTATTGAGGTAAGTTTAATGCTTAGAGAGTGTTATTGAGGTACGTTTAATGCTTATTGAGGTGAGGTGATTGGTTGTGTCAGGGGTCTGATCGTGTCGCTCCGCCCTGAGATCAGACAGGAAGTGAATGGAGACACAGACTGAGAACAGGCCAGAGTTTCACACACACACACTCTTTCAAGAAATAAACTCATGAAATATCAGCTGAGCACGCCACTCATCAACACACACTACAGAACACAGCACAGCACCTCTGAAGCGCGGCAGACGGAAGAAACTGCTCGGAAGAGATGAGAAGGACGCTTTACTCTTCTAAACTAGTTTAACTAGCTCTACACGCGAGGAGAAACGTGGTGAGTGTCTCTCATTGAGTGTTCGTGTGCGTGCGCGTTATATTACACGCGATAGCGTTTCGTTTGATGTCGTGTTCAGAAGTGTTGACGCATGAGTTCGGCGGATGTGATTTGATGACGTGTTATTGACTCTGTAAGTTTAGTGAAAGTCATATTGTAACTGATGAGACTGACTGATCTGCTCATCACTCTCATCCTGCGAGTGTGGGACTGTTACAGGCCAAACCCAAATATCAACTGAACTTTACCACAGTACTTCAGACAGCAATACTAACAGTATGCCTTTTTTCTTGAAAGATTCACTAATATAAAACCATGGCCATGATAAATGCATGTTTTTTTGGACAGTCCAACAAGTATCCAACCAGCTGTCTGGGACAATGGTCAGTTATACAATGAGTTCCCAAACTTTTTGAAGCCAACTATCCCCTTCCTCAAATACAAACCCCAATTTATACTGTAAAATGTTTCAACTTTTTATATTAAGTGAAAACTTTGGTTGCACTTTATTTTAAGGTGTCCTTGTTACAGTGTAATTATACATTTAGTACCGAGTAATATTAACTAAAGGTACTTCCTATAAGGTTAGGGTTTGGCTTAGGGTTACATGCATGCAATTATGCATTTATTGTTATTATAATAGTAAGTGCATGTAACGTGTGTAACAAGGACACCTAAAAACAAAGTGTTACCAAAAACAATTTTTTTTGTTTGTTTTCTCTCTATAGAATTACAGACATTTTCAAAACAGTGTTTAGAAAGCATAATGAAACACTAATAATGTCAAATTTCATTTATTGTTATTTGATCAACTTTGTTGGGGTTCCTCTAAACCCCTAAATGGCAGAGTTTGGTGTCATACAGCAGTTGAGAAGCATGTCATGAGGTGTTATGGGCTGGTCCAGCTGTTTGCTGCAGGTCATGGCGCAGGAGAGCACGGTGCAGTACGAGCCGGTGGCAGAGATCGGCGGCGGCGCTTACGGGACCGTCTACAAGGCTCGAGATAGAGACAGCGGGCAGTTTGTGGCTCTGAAGAGTGTGAGAGTGCAGACCAATCAGGACGGCCTTCCTCTGTCCACGGTGCGAGAGGTGGCGCTGCTCAAACGACTCGAGCAGTTCGACCATCCCAACATCGTCAGGTACCGAAACACACACGCTCACGCATGTTCTGTGCACCAACTTCAACAGGAACCTCATTCAAACATTATTTTACACATTCGGGTTTCGCATCACATTTTACTATGGCTTCAGTCAAATTACTGTCATGTTAAAGGCAGAGTAAGTGATTTCTGGTAGCCAATGTTGATATTTGAAATCACCAAAACAAACACACCCCTACCCCAAAAGGGTCTTGCCCCTATTTTGATAGCTCCGCCCCACATATACATACGCAACCCAGGGAACGATTAGTTCTGTGAAACAAAGCAAAACCAATGTTACACCGTGTCTACGGACGTGAGCGGCGCGGCGCAAAAATTCCCGACAGAAAACTGCTGCGGGGTTCTATTTATGACGTGCTGACACACGTTTCAAATGGTTTTCAACGGTTGTTTGATCGCGTCCAGTGTAGGCAGACTTTAGCTGTTGTAGACACGGTGTTACTCACCTATTGAGAAGAAACAAAGCAACCTCGGCGTCCGATCGCAGGTCTCCGCTCCTTGAGTTCTCTCCAGCGCTGGAAAGCTGATCCGATATTTACACGGGTCCTACTTCTTGCCTTATCGTTCCGCAGACGTTTTCCTCATTTGTTTTTTATCCGCCATCTCTATCTTTCTGTCGCTCGGCTCGGCTAATGTCCGTCCCATGCACTGAAAGCTCTCTCCTCCACATCACGAGTAGACACGCCCCTTATTGCTGATTGGCTACACGTTTGTTTTGCTATTCGGCCCGAATCAGTTTTCTAAAGTGTTTTTGAAAAATCACATACCATGCCTTTAATTTTTTACAACAATAAATCCAGAGCGGATGACATTTTATTTCACATCAGGTCTTGCCTCTGCCTCTGACGAGTACTGAATGGTACATTATTCCTTCTTGTATGACTGTTTCCAGTGGTGGTCTGTGTTCTGCTCTGCAATGACCTGCACATTAACAAAGATTAAAAACACTGAAAGTGAGACAGTCTGGAGAAACGGGTCTTCAGTTTACTCATTCTCACAGCTGAGATTTGTCAGCTGTTACTGATAAATCAACTAATTATGTTACATATTTACTTTGTATGGAAAGTAGCACATTACAATGTATCAGAGAGAGAAAAGAATGAAAAGGTCTTTATGGACCATGTAATGATGATAATTGCAAAATCAAATATGAAGCGGAAGGTTAAATCATGTCCTTATCCCCCCCCCACCCCATCTTTAGCATCAGATTCAGCTATTCAAATACTAGATCAGTGGTTCTTAACATTTTTTTTCCACTGAGCCACACTATGGTCCAAGTGCGAGTCTCACGGGCCGCATGCATATCATTTACATATCACGTCACCAATACAAACCAACCAGATTTATAATATTATAGCCTAGGGCTGGGTTTTGACACAAATTTCACGATTCGATTTTCATTCACAAGCTTGCGATTCAATTCGATTCATTATCGATTATTTTGGATCTATATCAGGTACAGTGCATACCAAATTTTCTCAAGGAAAAAAAAATCTCTCAACTAATGCTGTAAAATCTACATGAAAGTCAGTTGGTACTAAACCGTTATATTGACGTGTTTGCACGGCTGAAACACTGATTGAGCGATTATTTGAGACCGGATACGAATTGTGAAGTTGTACTCTTTCTTTTAACTTACCTTCGGATGTTTAGTAGCCTAAATATTATGATATCTACTCGATTACATTCATTGAGATAAGTAAATAATTCTACTCGCCATTAATAAAACACCTGATGCTGTCGGGAGCTGACCAATTTTGTGAAATTCGGCTCGAAAGGAGTAACAGCACAATGAAGTTGCGATTGTAAGTTGCGGTCTGTAAGACGCACGACATTGCAGAAAATGTGCGTTCACAAATGTAGCCTATGTTGATCCAAATATGGAAAGCACTTTCGAATGTAATAATCTGAGGTTCTCTCCAGAGATGTTTTGCCACATTTCTGCAATTAAGGATGATTGCTGCGTAGTATGGGTGTTTCCTTTTGCCTGAACATCTTCAAGTGAGTGGCGGGGCAAACCGAAAGTCCAGCACTCTCCTACCTTCACTTCTGATACTGCGACTATTCTTGTTTGTATGTATTCCTTCACCGGCATTTTCCACATTTCGTTTTTCTCCCTTAATAACAAATTTGTCCCAAAAATGAAAATTAGGCTGCGTTTTACTCACCCCTAAGCAACTTTACAGAAAAGTAAGTTTCTACAATATATTTAGAAGTAGCTTATCAGTGGTGACTGTCAGTTAATGTATTTATGGCAGAAATGTACGAAAAAATCAATTAAAGACCTAATCAAACAGACGATGAACACTATTAACAGCAATTATTATATGATGCAATCAAACTTATAGCAAAATGTGGTAG